CTGGTGGTTGCACCAGAGGAGAAAGCAGACCTCTTTAACAATTTCTTTGCCTCCATTTTCTTGTGCAGAGACTGGGACTCCCCTACCGAGATTCAGGACAGACTCAGGAGAAACTCTGCCAGGCCTAGGGTCAGGGAGGACTAAGTTAAGGAATTTCTGGAGGGGCTGGACGTGTTCAACTCAGCAGGTCCAGATGCTCTCCACCCCAGAGTGTTGAAGGAATTGGCAGGGGTCATCGCGGGGTCCATGGCATGGTTTTACAAGCGCTCATGGTGCTCTGGCCAAGTGCCGGACAACTGGAAGAAGGCCAATGTGGTCCCCATATTTAAAAAAGAGAAGAGGGAGGACCTGGGCAACTATAGAGAGAGAGAGTCCAGAAGAGAGCCACGTGCACGATCAGAGGCCAGGAAAATAGACGGTACAATGACAGGCTGAGAGCTATGGGGCTCTTTAGCCTGAAAAAGCGCAGGCTTAGGGGTGATCTGATGGTCACCCATAAGTTTATCAGGGGTGACCACCAATATCTGGGGGAACGTTTGTTCACCAGAGCACCCCAAGGGATGACGAGGTTGAACGGTTATAAACTACTGCAAGACCATTTCAGGCTGGACATAAGGAAGAATTTCTTTACTGTCTCAGCCCCCAAAGTCTGGAATAGCCTGCCATTGGAGGTGGTTCAAGCACCTACATTGAACACCTTCAAGAGAAATTGGGATGCTTATCTTGCTGGGATCCTATGATCGAGATGACTTCCTGCCCCTCGGGCAGGGGGCTGGACTCTATCTTATGAGGTCCCTTTCAGCCCTAATGTCTATGAAATCTATGAAATAGGCCTGTTAGTCTTACTTCAATCCTGGGGAAGCTCTTTGAGAAGATTATCAAAGAGCACATCTGTGATGGGCCAGCAGCAGGGTTGATGCTCAAGGGCAAGCAGCATGGTTTCATTAGGAGCAGATCCTGTCAGACCAACCTGATTGCATTCTACAATCAGGTCACAAAATCATTGGATGCAGGTGTCGCGGTGGATGTAGTTTTTCTGGACTTCAGGAAGGCGTTTGACACTGTCTCCCACCCCATTGTCATTAAAAAGCTAGGCGACTGTGGCATTGATGACTACCCAGTCAGATGGTTTGCAAATTGGCTGAGGGGTTGTACTCAGAGAGTGGTGGTGGACGGGTCATATTCGACCTGGAGGGTCATGGGCAGTGGAGAGTGGGCAGTGGAGTCCCCCAGGGTTGTTCAATTTCTTTATTAGCAACTTGGACAACGGGGTGAAAAGCACCCTGTTTAAATTCGCAGATGACACCAAGATTTGGGGTGAGGTGGGCACGCTAGAAGGGAAGGACAGATTACAGCAGGACCTGGACAGGTTACAGGCGTGGGCAAATGAAAATAGGATGGGATTCAATACTGACAAGTGCAGAGTGCTGCATTTGGGCAGTAGGAACCAGCAGCATACCTATAGGCTGGGGAACTCCCTTATCGAAAGCACAGTGGCAGAAAGAGATCTTGGAGTCATTACTGACTCCAAGATGAACATGGGCTGACAATGAGAGGACACAGTCAGTAGAGCTAACCGTACCTTGTCGTGCATCCACAGATGCATCACAAGCAGGGCCAAGGCGGTGATCCTCCCCCTGTATGCGACACTGGTCAGGCCACAGTTGGAATACTGTGTCCAGTTCTGGGACTGAAGTTGTTAGAGGGTAGGTTTAGACTAGACATTAGAAGGCTACTACTGTGAAGTAGTCTTCACAGTCAGGGTGGCTAGGATCTGGAACCAACTTCCAAGGGAAGTGGTGCTGGCTGCTACCTTGGGGGTCTTTAAGTGGAGGCTTGACGTTTACTTAGCTAGGGTCATTTGAGCCCAGTTTTCTCTCCTACCCAGGGCAGGGGGTCAGACTAGAAGATCTACAAGGTCCCTTCCAACCCTACATCTATGAATCTATCAATCTTAATGGGGCCATCCTAGGTTGGTAATCCCACAGGGTTGGGAGGGGGACTCTGTTCCATGCTGGGGGGGGGGACTCTTCCCCCTCTTCCTCCCCCCAGGGTGTTGAGGGGGACTCTGTGAGGTGCTGAATGGGGACTCTTCCTCCTCCTTCCCTTGCCCTGCTGCTGCTGCGGGGTTGGAGGGGTGGGTGGAGGAACTCTATGCGACACTGTCAGGCCCCAGAGTGGGGTGGGAGCAGGGGGAGGCTCTGCTCCATGCTGGGGGGAACTCTTCCCCCTCCTCCTCCTCCTTCTCCCAGAAGGGCAGCAGGGGTGCAGAGCTCAGCTGGGCAGGGTGTTTGTGTGTGGGGTGTGAGGGAGGTGGGGAGTGTAGGGCCAGCGCTGCGCAGACTCCACTCCCTCCACCACATAGCACTAGCCAGAGCTGCACCTGCTACGGGCAGGAATAACTTGACCTCCCCGCCTGCTGCTGCCAGGCAACGGGGGCTGCACGCCATGGGGGAGAATGTGTCCCTGCACCCCCCCACCCTCCCCCACACCCCGAACACCCACACCCTGTGCAGCTGAGCTCCACACTCCCAGAAGAGTTCCTCCCAGCATGGAACAGAGCCTTCCCTGCCCTGGGGGGGTAGGGAGAAGTGGAGGGAAGAGTCTCCCTCTGAGGCTGGGCAGCATCCCATAGAGCCCCACCCCCTCTCCTGGCAATGATAAGGGAGAAGCAGGGGGAAGAGTCTCCCTCTGGGGCCTCATAGAGCCCCCCTCTACACCCCACTGCAGAGGGAGAGGAGGAGGGAGAAGAGGCCCCCAAGACCGAACAGGGCCCCTCTCTCAGCCCCATGGTGGTGGGGGAGAGGAAGGAGGGGGAAGAGTTCCACTCTGGGGCTGGGCAGCCCTGTGTGCCCAGACTGCTCCCAGCTGTCACAGAGCCGCAGGGGAGGGCCTGCCGGGGCCTGGTCACACCCCCACTCCTCAGCTCAGCTTCCCTGTTGGAAGGGAAGGGCTGCTCTAGCAACTCCAGGCTTCTGGCTTGAGCCATTGCAGGCATGTGCCAAACGTCTATCCACTTGCAAACCAGTTCACTCTCTGCAGGTTAGACTAACCTGCAAAGACTGAATCAGTTCAGGTTCAGGCTTTTTGTATGCCTGTCCCTAGACTTAGTGAAATGCTCACAAAGCTATTGCTTTATTCTTAAAGCATGAGAAGAACCCTTAGGCAAGGTGGATTTTATTCTTGGTGACTTATATGAGTTGAAATAAATATTCTAATAGAGCAGCCAAATGGAAGGCCAAATGAAGGCTACATGGGCTATGTTCATTCTTGAGCAGAGAATAGTAGTTAGCCCTGTGAGTCTGAAATCAGACACAAGACAGGGTAGATTTACACTTTGCAGACTAACTAAATCAGAGATTTCAGCACTTAACTTTACAAGCTCAATGTTCTTTTACCATGCTTTGAATGTCAGTAACATGAATAGAGTACGAACTGATCATTACAGAACAAAATCCCTGATCTAATTTTTGGACACTTCTATTTTCCCTACTTCAAAGACATTTCACAGCTCTTTTTAAAATTGAGATTTTGTTTTCTTTTTCAGTAGGGATGAGGATGAAGCACTTAAAATAAACTTCTGGCATTCTGCCACCCAGGTGCACTGTTAGCTTATTAAGAGCCAGAAACTGGGAAGGAACCAAGTGAAAATCTATGCTTACTTAGCTGCTACTCATTTGTACATGAATCTTGTATTTACAGTCTGGGTTGCTACTAGTGATAAAAGGCAGTCTCTCAGGCCTTACTGAATTGGCAAATGTCAAAGAAATTACAACGCAGAGTAAGCAGACCAACAAATCAATGTGATTTTACATTTTCCCACTTTTAAATTCCCTTTTTATTAAAGACAACTGGCTACTGTACAAATTAATTTTCTATTATTCCGATAAGAGTTAAACTGCTTTTGATATGTATGAGTCCATGAGTCCTACTTTCTTCAAAGAAGCTGGGTCTGTCATACACATTTAATGGCATTAAGCTTACATTTTCAAAAGTAACTCATCATTTTGGATGCTCTAGTTTCTTGCTGCCAAACTTAATGTAACTTATATGGACCTGTTTTCTAAAACATAGTGACCATCCACCTTCTGAAAATTAGGCCCCTATTTTCTGCCAAAGATGGTCATGTAAATAGTGAGCCATCAAAAAAAAGGAGCTTTTTTTTTTTTTTTTAAATGACAGGCCTAGATGTATTCAGGGGAGAAATATTTACATATTTACTGATATATTCATATAAAGAGCTTTGTCTCCTTTTCTTGGTATAAAATGCTAAGAATATAGCTTTTGGTGCACTTCATCTTCTAATAAAATGCCATGTTTGAGACAAAGTAAATTACTTTTTCATGATGAACTCCTGACCAAAAACAATTTTCTAGTGCACAGAGTACTAGAATGAAATTTAGGAAACTTGGATTCCATGCCGAGTATTTCCACTGGCCTGCTGGGTGAAGTTGGCTAAGTCATTTACTTTTCTTTGTCTCAGTTTCCCCACCTTTAATATGACACTGGCTTCCCATGTGAAGTGTTTTGAGATATGATGAAAAGTGCTATTTAATAGTCAGGCATCAATGGTAGCATTATCATCATCATCATCATTATAACTTTTTATCATGCAAAGAACTAACCTGTGCCACAGTTAGCCAGCTAGTAGCATCATCCTCACTCGGATGAATTCCTTGATTCCATCTCCTTTGTACCACATAAATTACAGGCTCAATTGAAATATTGAATTTTGAAGACCATTTAACCTCCAGGTCCCCAGACTGAAGTTCAGTAAATTTCAATTCTTTCCTGGGTTTTAGTGGAACACCTATAATGCAAACGTACAGATAAAATATTAAATAATTTACAAAACAGGATGTATATGTAAGAGCAAATAGATGAAGAGTTGTGGAAAGAGTAACAGACAAATAGCTGGACAGTTTTAAGGGTCTAGTGAGCAAAAGGGATGGAATTTTGAGGAGTTCTCAGTTCTCAATTTTAATTATAAAACTTATTTTAAACTTCAGGGTCAGAGTTCAGTTAGTGCTATATACATTTTAAAATCTCTAACTACTTCATTACTTTTTTTAACAACTCCAGATATTGAAGGCCTTGCAAATTCTGAGCTTATCCCAATCTCACTATGAGTAATTTTAAAATATAATTTGAGAATACATCATTTAAAAACTTTAAAAACACCGCACACTGTCACTCTAGGCTCAAGTGACAGCCTTTTTCACCTGATTATATATGTATTCCATTAAGCTTTCATAAATCGCCCAAAGGTCTAAGACAAGTGATCCCATTGGTTTGTCAGAAGACACAGACATGCATGATCTAAATGTGAGATTTCAGTCTGGCATTACAGTACTGATATTGCCTTTTAAAACTTTCCAGTGACCACTCACCACATGCTGATACTGTGTTATGATTTCTCTGCTGTATTTTGATCATGGCCTACTGCTGTTCCAAAGCGTTTACAGCAGGCATGGGGAGGAATAACCTGTTATAAATCTTTAGATACCCATTGGTATCCTTATATTAGACTGGAAAATAAAGTGGTTAGTTACATTCCTATACATGGTGTTTTGGAACTTATGTCAGCACTTAGAGCTTTCTCATTTGAGGTCACTGTATGACATGTAAATCTTTCTGTCAAATTTCTTTTACTCAATTTCACTTTTTTTTTCACTTTATTTGGCCTCTAAATGGATCCACCCACATAGACTAATATAATAAATTATATTTAAAATAATCTACCCTACTTGGTCCAGCACACATGCTTGTAGAAGACAGGAACAAACAGTTTTAAAATTAAACCATGAATGATTTTGCATTAGAGTTGTATCACATAAGGAGAAAAATATAGCCAAATACTAGTCCCAGTGAAGTCAATTAGAGTGTTGTCCCTGACATGCATCTGGGATTTGGTTCAAAAAGTATAAACCAGGCTTCTGGTGTTTCTTCTCCATATCAACTAATATTGATGAATAATGACAGCATCTACAACTTCTGAACAAATCTAAAACTGCTTGTCTAGAAACATAAATTATGAGAATTTTGTCAGATCCACTTGACTCCATTCCAAGGTTTTGAACAGGGAGTATCTGAAGTTTATTTGTTTTAGCTCCTATACTTCCTTAGATCAACAAACTGCTTTTGAAGAGATTTAAAAACAGACCTCTCCCTATAGCACTCCAATTACATAATCAGCAATAGTAAACAAAAACAAATACTGTAGGTAGTGAAGAAACCTAAATCATGCTGAGTAAATCTTGACATTGGAAACACAGGTTCAAATTCTGGATATTATTCAACAGCAAGCAGTCTTAATCCAACATAATAAGCATCACAAACTATGTCAGCTCAAATTTCTATGTTTTAAAATCCCTCTTTAATAATGATGTACAATAATGCCACAATTTGCATGTTAAGAAACTTTCCATCTGCTTTGCATTAGGGTCAGTTGGATTCACTTGACTGGAAGTAACTCAGCCTCTCTGGTGGATGTAATTGTGTGCAGATGGATCTCAGCAACACAAACAACTAGAGCATAGCACAAGTGCATTGCAGAATACTTTTGTGGAAACAGCCTCATCAATTTCATATCCAGATGTTCATATCCAATCACTTCTCATTGTGCTTTGTATTATGTAAATAGTCAACTCTTTCATCATTCTTGAACAAATTAGTCTTCTCCAGTGGACAATGTTTAATGGAAGAATTGAAAACTGGTATTGTTTTATACGTGTAATACCAGAGCCCAGGAAGTATATATATTACACAAGGTGCCTTTCAAACGACATGCACGTCTCTGTGCCATGAAAAGTAAATACACAAAGATGCATCATAAGAAAGAATAGTGCTCTTCAAATATAAGAGAAGCATAATACTTGGGTGGAACTGTTTGAAATATTTGTGTAGATCAATATATGAAATAATTTCATACAATAAAATAAGATTGCAACAGTCCTTTTTTCAGATTTGATTGTCACACAATTTGGCCCAATATTTGTAAACTCTCAGAGTGGCATTAGATAAAAAGTTAACAAAAAGCACAGAGAAAAATACATAGATTCATCCTGTTTGATCATTATAAAGAGCTCAATTCTGCAAATAGTGACAATGGGTATAGTATAACTGTCATTGCTTTCCATGGAATATGGCTAAGGTGCAAGTATAATTATGTTTGTACTTGTTTGCTTTCAATATAGCTAAAGGGTATAGTCATAAAAAAGGTATTGTCCACAACAGTAATCTCCAAAACGTAATCAGCTATGAAACTATGGTAGCTTATATGGATTCTTTTCACTTTAATCTGAGTTCCTTTTCTAGCTATTAGTGCTGTCACGATGGTGACTACTAAACTTGTTCACTGAATCTTAGTCATGCTTGCGGAGTTTGTTCCTGCTTAGTGACAGGGAGGTTATTTACCCCTTGAGGAAATGAAAAGCAAGCCTGAACAGCTCCTATTTGTCCTTTGTTTCAAAAGACAGGTTTAAGAGATTAATTAGCTGAGAGATTCATCAGCAGAGAAAGCACCAGTACATTGGTTCTGCCTCCTGTATAACACACAGATGCTTTAACAAATCCTGGTAATAGGTGATAAGATGGTTAAGTAGAACATTTTACTTTGCCAGTAAAATTAAACAGAAAAAAATGGAAGGTTTCTTCTTATGCCATCATATTGTATATCATATATTGCATATGGTTTCTTCCCTTCATGCATGTTTCTCCCTCACTATGTTTGTTGTTATATAGTTCCAGATTTGAGGCAAATGCTACTGGTCAGCCAAAGGCTGTATCTACATATTATCCCCTGTGTTCTCTTTTGCCTCAAGTACCTTCAGAAGTATTGGGAAATAATTTCTAAAGATAAAGCAAAATCCTGTCTGCACTCAAACCTATGCAGCTCCATTGGTTTTGCGATTGCAAAGAACTGGAGTTGTTAAGGCGTAATCATAAGGATTTTGCCCTATACTGAGAGCTTAGCTAACAATACTCTCTACAGTGCTTACACAAGTATGACTTTTATTATCACTAAAATAAAGAGAACTGGTTTTTCACATAGGTAATAATCAAATCTGTGAGAAAATGTCTTTCTTAAATAGAAGGAAGGATTTCTATGGCTGATATCTTTCATTAGACCAACTGCATAACTGGGATAAAATCTAGACAAGCTTATGCATTCTTCTTTAGGTCTTTCTTGCCTCTCATATTTCCTGGGCCATCATGGCTACAACATCTTTTTACTTAGCCATTTTTCAGGACTAGAAGCACACTTTCAAACATGTCTACCCACAAAAGTTATTTAGATACTGACAAATTAAAATCTAAAATCATTTTTGGTACCATTCATTCCTTACATCATAGAACCTTCCTGACACATGGTGAGGAAAATGTTTCTTCCTAGAATTTCAGGACCGCAAACAAATCAATTAAATATTGTTAATGGATTCTGTTTTCTTAGATTCTTTGAGTATTTAAGATGAGTTTTGTTAGAAAGTTTTCATTATTTCTTTATAATTCAAATTTACATTACTCATTTGCTCCACTGTTGATTATTTCATACTTTGTACTTGGTAGTGCTACCCATTTGATTCTTACTAAAAGAGATTATCTGGGATTAAAGTGACTTGAGCTATTTATCATTAGATAGTCTCACTGTTGAAATTGTTCCTCTCATCTGTGTCAAATTAAGTGAAACTTCACATACCTGGGCCAATTTGTTCTGCTTAAGATGATTCATAAAGGCTCCATTTCTATGGTTCACTAACACTCTAATATGGACTCAATAAGGCAACACAAGTTGTGGCTTAAGTTTCTCGATACACTTTTTTCTTTGCTTTGTTATTCTTAGCCTTCATTTATAATTATACTCTCTCCCAACTCACTCTCCCTCTCTCTCTCTTTCACACACTCACACTGCTTTATAAACTTGAATGTCTTCTTTTTCAAGCAACGTTATTACTTGCTAAAATGCTTTGTCCCCTTACAAGTGCCTAGGAATATGTCTACCTTTATAAAGATTTTTTGGTATTTGGCATGTATGTCCACATCCATTGGAGCAGCATTTCTTCACCCCAGAACATTCATTGTCAGCCTCACAGCTTTCAACACAGGCAGCAGCAAAACCACTAGCCTTCTCAGGTGCTGGACAGTCTCCTTGCTTCACAGACAGAATGTACTTGAGGAATTCACAGCTAGTTAAGCATTCATAGTTCTTCTTGGGGAAAAGAGGCTAAAGGGAAAACAAAAGAATTGTACAACATTTTCAATGGGAAAAAATAACGCTGTAAGATTTCCAAGCTCTCTGAAAAGAAAATTTAAAATATAAACTATTGCAAGACAACCCTTGAGGATTGAGATATCCAAGCAGCTTCTAAACAAAGCCTGAAAAATACAGAATGGTGAATTCCCTCAAGCAAGACTATCAGCTTTTATGGAATTAAGTTATTTGTATCTGCCAGCTTTTTCTTGTTTTCTCTCAGATTGGCCAGATAGCTATGAAGTTGCTCAACAGCAGATTAAAAACACTCACAAAACAAGGGAAAGAATTGTCTGGATACTTCTTTTTGCCCCATTCTATTTTGCTCTATTGTGTTTTTTTTTTCCTTTGTATACCAAAACTCTTTACCCATAATCTGTTTAATGTCACTCCAAACAAGCAATGCACTCCTTCAGTTTATTGCTAGAATCCCACTATTATGAAGGGACTTCATAATACTCCTATGCTAAAAAACAAAATTTTAAGTGTATATAGTGTGCAGACATTACACTTAGCTCAATCTAAGTGAAGAACTGGACATATGTTTGGGGAGTTTAGATCAGGCAAAAAAAATGGCTAGCCCAATCTAACTTAGTTCACCAGATGAGGTCACTAAGTAGGTCGAGCTAACCTGTGCCCAAACTAACTGAACATGTGTACACATTTGGAACACAGCCCTGAGGAAGGGAAAGCCCAGCCACTTGCCCCAGCTCAGGGCTGAGCTTTTCCTAACACCCTCCTCTGCCTTTACCAGGCAACTTTTAGCCCTCTGACCCCTGCATCCCAGGATGGACAACCTATCCCTGCTCTATAGACCTGCCAGGTCCACCTGTGGATGCTAGCCCCATTCCCACCCTGACTTACTTAGATCACATTCCCAGCATGGCTCCCAGCCCTGGCAAATGTGCACAAGCAGGATCCAGCCTACAATCATACAGCCTAGAGTAAACTATGTGATCGTAGATTAGATCCTGGGAACATTTGCATGTGTCCTATATGGACTTCTTAGTAATCCAAATTATGCTTCAGTTCCACAAAAAGCTGTACACTGTTTGAGAGCACACACCTTTGTGGCTTTAATGATATTATGGAGATCCTTATGAAATTTCTCACCAAGGGGAAGCAAAAGGCATTTATGACCTTGGTGGACAGTGCTTACTTCTTTGAAGTAGCCTCTCTCCTGAAGAAGAGAACCATTTTCAGTCTTCAAAAGAGACTTTCTTCACTTTAGAAAAGTTGAAGGTTTGGTGCAAGTAGGGTGACTGCCAACTGTGACTGGTGGAGAACTGGATATGTAACATATATGAATTAGGCTTTCTATAGCCTTTTCTACCAACATAGGTACCAGATAACTCTTTGTGCTCTGACTACAGCATCTGACTACAGTCTTAAAATAGATTGCCCCCCACTCTCTTTCTCACCTCCACTGGGAACTGTTGGGAGTTTTCTGTTTGGCACATGGACTCTGACTTTGGCTTTTGCCAGTGGGTGTTTGCAGACACTAAACAAAAAAACAAAAGTGGCACTTTATTTTAAACTCAGTGCATCCCTGCACTGATCTCCGCTCCTGCCCAAAAGAGGCAGCACATTTTTTGTTAACCATGTAAGCGTCTGCAAAAATTGGGCGCTTAAGTTAGACTTTTTGGTGCTTTTATCTAATAGCTGATTGAATCAGCTATTAGATAAAAGCTCCAAAAAGCCCCAATGAAGCACCTGATCTTTAGAGATGTTGAAGAACCAGGTTGAAGTAGCAGGTGTTTCTTCTGGTAAAACGCATTGTTTTTAATATCTGCAAGCATGGCTCATGGGTACTGAGTGCCTGCTAATTTTTTTTGGTGGATGCTTGAACCCCAGAGCACCCACAGAGTATGGCACCTGGTCTGGATTCCTTATTCTGAACTTCTCCTAACCCTGCTTCCTACCCTCCCTTACCTCCACCCATTCCTGTTCTTTTCTTTTTTCCCTTGTGCTTTTAGTAGGCACCAAAGGCCCTGTTCATCTAGACCCAGGCTTGCAATAGACTCTATGGCTAAGTGCAAACATTCAAAGCTCCTGGCAGAAGCATTCTAACTTGTCATGCTTTACTCAAAGCGCAATTAGTTACAGCGGGAGTCAACCCGACAAACACTCGCTGTTTGATGAGAGAGGGAGGGCTCACAGCCTGCTCTCACAGGCTGCTGGGAGTGTTCCCACATGCCTCCCAGGAGGCTGCCAGAGGACCCCCTCTCCCCAGCGCCACCCCCCACCAGCTGGTGACTGTCAGCAGCATCTGGGAGGGAAGAGGGGGAGAATAGAGCCCCCCACCACAAGGTTCTCCCTACAGCTTGCTGGTCAGGGTCTGATGCGGGGGCAGGCTGGGTCTATGATGGTGGGGATTCCTACCCGAAACCCTTGTGACACCTGCAGTCAGCAGCTGCAGTGTGGTGTGGCCTCACTTAGTGGGGCTGCTGCTGGGGATGGGCTCCAGGGTCTGTGTCTGTGGAGCAGCCCTGGCCAGGCAGTGGCCCTGATTCCCTTCCCTTGCAACAACCTGGTCAGGCTGTAGTGCACTGCTGCCTGGCTGGGGCTGCTGCAGAAGAAAAAACCCCAGAGTTCTTCTCCCACAACCCTCCCCCCACCCGGGGTGGCTGCAGGGACAGAAACCTTCCTCACCCCATCCCTCCTCCATGCTGTGCTAGGGGCTGGGATCAAAGGCTGTCACTGATTTGGGTCAATAATCGCTGAGGGGGCAAGGCCAGCCTGGCACTCAAGCAAAAAATGGGAACTCTGCTTGAGGCTAGAGCAGCCCTGAGCAACACTGCTTGAAATAGCGTTGATCACGCTCTAAGTTAACTCTTGATAGTTTCTGGCACAAACACTCTAACAGAAAGCGCTTTAGGTTAGTACACCTCCATCCAGGGTTAACTTAGAGCAGGATCTGCCATTTCCAAAGTGCTTTAAAGCTGCTTACAGACATAACCCTGCACCCGCCCCCAAAAAATGGAACTTTAAACTCAGTGCACCCCCGTGCCAAGCCCAGCGCATGCCCAGAAGAGGCAGTGCATTAGTTTGACCCAACTCACCCAACCTATGTATAGAATGGGCTCTTCAGTGGAGCCTTTTTGGAGCTTTTGTCTAATAGCTGATTGAATCAACTTTAGATAAAAACACAAAAAGCCCCACTGAATCATGCAATCTATACAGATGCTGAGGAGCCAGGTCAAACTAATGTGCTGCTTCTTCCTATAAAGTGCATTTTTTTTCCATGTCTGTCAGGAGCCAATGTGCCATAAATATCTGTTCTGTTACAGCTGTAAAGCATTTTCTGTGTGTTTAAAGAACATTAAGTATAATGTCTATACCCACCCAGTGCTCCCTCTTTGGTTCCTTCTACTAATAAAAAAGGCAATCATATCAAACCGTTAGAAGTCTCCCTCCATAAACGTCACTCTCTCTCACTTTTCCCTGAGCTGAGAGGCTAACTGAGGCCTGATCTACTCAGGTTCTGCAAGCAAAGCTGTGAGTGCATTTATACTCACAGCTTCCCTCTGCTGGCAGAATTCCTTCCTTCTGCCTGCTCTGTAACACCAGCTCTGTTAAGCAATGTGAGGTGTATGCTGTCACAGGGAAACCACCAGAAAGTATGTGCTAGCTGGCACAGATGCTTTAACAGCTGATGCCCCTCAGCATGCATGGCATACTCTGTTGGTGCAGCTGCTATTGTAAAGCTATCGGAAACCTGGAGGCCTGCTGCCGGCTGGAAGAAGGTTTGCAATGCAGACTAGCTTGTCAGATGGTTTTTACTCCCTTAAGATGACAGGAATGGGTCATTGCTGGGGTGTTTGGTCAAAAAAAAGGTAACATGTTAAACATGTTCTGCTATGTCACTGCAGTCCAGAGTTATGAAAGTGTCACTATTTTCCTCCTGCCTCTTTCCCATAACTTTCCCATGGAAGGATCCCCACAGAACTGCCAGACTGCAGTCAGAACTATTGACATCATTGTGATACCTAACTATAAACTACCATTCCCTAGATCTACCATGCTAGTGGCATGGGCTCCCTTGCACAAACCTGATGGAAATCTGAACCACTGTCATGAAAGAATAGCATCTACAGAACTCTTCACTGTCTTGATCTGGGATCACCTAGTAAATGTTTTAAGAAGGTCTTAACTTAAAGACACCTAAACTATCAGTGTTATTGATCATGTAAATCCTAAAATGATCATGTCGTGAAAACACAACTTCTACAACTTTCTCGTAAACCCTTATTCATATAAAGACCTCTTCCTCACACATCTAGTCTCAGTAACATCAGTGGGCAAAGATGAACCAGACTGTTATTTGTAAAGTAGTAATTTTTAAAACTTTAAAGCTCACTGTAGCTTTCAAATATTATGCTGAATCAAGAGCAATGGATAATACTCAACTGTAGGGAGAACTGCATGGGTTAATTCAATCAAAATGGCACCTTATGTAGTTTACTTGTGGGTATGTAGCCAATTTCAAATGCTAAAAACCCACAAATTTGCAGCTAGTTAATTAAAAACCTTTATAGCCCCCTGAGGTATTATATGTCCTCAAGGCTTCTCTTCCTTACCCTATTTCACAGCTCATTTTTTTTCAGTTAGCTGCTAAATGTGCTGCTCTTCATTACTGGCCTTTGATGTTCTAAATTTAGCTTCAATCACAAAAATCACTAATCAGACAGGAATGTTTGAATTTTTTAGATACAATAGAGTAGTATTTTATAAACATTTCCTTTTTAAACCAACCCCCACCCCATATACAGACATTCAGAGATATAAAGCCACAGTAAAAATGATGTGGTGATGTGCAAGGATAGTGTAAACTAGACCACTTGATCTACTTTAGGGTTTGTCTACATAAGAAGCAGTAAATGAATTTATTAATGTAGGTTAAGTAAGGCCTTGTTCACATAGGCGTTATACTTAGTGGCTGGCTTTAATCATGCAAAAATGTGGATTTTGGGTTACTTTTGTAACCCAAAACTTGGGGATTATTTTTAGCAGAGAAAACCAGAATCCCTGTTTTCAACTAATTTTTTATCACAGAAAAATATGGATTTTGGATTACTAAAAAAAAAAATCCCCAATTTTCAGGTTATCAGCGATAATCAGGATCTTAGGTTATAACAATAGTTATATAAATATAGTTATACCCAGCATAACATTTTAATACACTTTTATTTTAGCATAATAGTGGCTTTTTTCCATTTTAGCTTAAATTCCTTCCACATACTATAATTTACATTTATTTATTTATTTGATTTCTATCATCCAGATACACACACAATAACAGTCATAAAAACAGATAAAGATAAAACTAATGAAACAATTTACCAAAGAATACCTAGAGCTTAACCATAGGCGGAGGGAAAAAAATTATCTGGGGGGGCTGAGCACGCACGTAAGTTTGTGGGGGAAGGGAAGCGGGGAGGGAGTGGGGATGGGGCAGGGGCAGGCCATGCACAGCCAGTACGGAGCGTAGGATGGTGCTGTGAGTGGCTTGTCTGGGGTGGGGAGGGGGCACCCAGCAGGGGAGGATGTGGCATCTCCTGCTGCTACGTGCCCCCTGATCTGCGCATGGGGCAGGACAAGCTGCAGCTACGAGCTGGGGCCAGGGCTGGCCAAGCTCTTCCCGGGGGGGGCATGCTGCACTCAGGACTGATGGTGGCAGCAACACTGTGAGGAGGGATTGGGGGGACTACAGTAAATTTTGGGGTGGCTGCAACTCACCCCTATAGCCCTCCTCCCAGAGCTGTTGCTGCTCACTCTGAGCACAGCCTGACTCAGCCCCACCCTACCAGGAAGAGCCCAGCACAGCCCCAGTCCACAGCCGCAGCCCACCCCGCCCCGCATGCAGATCCAGGGGCACACACCCCACCCCCTGTGCCTTCCCAGGGTGCATGTAGCAAGCAGGAGCTGCGTCCCCAGGACAAACCACTTGCAAGTCAGTCCCACACCCTGCCCCAGCTGTGCAGTGCCTGCCCCAGCCCCACTCCTTCTCTCACTGCTGCGTGTGTGTCCCTCCCCACCCCTGCTATGGCCACTGGAAGCCCATGACTGGGTTGCCTTGCAGCTATAGCACTGCCCCACATTTCGGATGGATAAGCTCCATTACACCCCCCAACCCCACCTTCACTGCCTATGAGCTTAACCCCACCAGCCAAAAGCCTGGCCATATAAAAATATTTTACACCAGTTTCAAAAGATGGACAGGCTTGGGCTCTGGTCAGCCCCCAGATAGCTCCAAAATTAAGGAGCAACAACAAGTTAGTATTAAGGCTAAACAAACAGGTGGTATTTGCAGAGGGTTGTTCTCTGCTGACCATAGCAATTGTGATGGAGGATAAGGGAGGAGACAGTCCTTATGTACATAGAACCTAGGCCATTGTTACACAAATAAATCTTTAAAAAATCTTTTTTAAATAATGCGTCCATAAGAGTGTTCAACCAATAAACTCAGATAAATTCATAACTTACGTTAGTCTTAAAACAAATTATTTCCTATATAGACTTACCTAAAGCCAGAAGTTATCTAAAGGGGAGTTTTAGCTAAACTACTACAAATTTCCCCATCTCCCTTAAATTGGTTTTAAAACAGTTTATGTCTGTAAGAAAGTAATTTAAACTGAATCACTGTAAACCACTTCTTGAAACAAATTAAGGCACATCTACCCCACCTCAAAGCTCCCCTACAAAGCTATGTAGTACAGGAAGCCATGCCTCCTCCCACAAGCTACTGCCTAAAAGAGATGTGCAGCACTGGACTTGTGCTAATACACCCATTCTCTTTTGAAGAGCTTACTGGTACACACCTAGAACTGTGCTGAAGTGGCTACCTGCATCCAGTTCTGGACATAACATACGCAGTGTGCGCCTCATTCTGACAGTCCCCTGCATCCTCTTCTGGTGGTGTAGACATGTCCCAGGTTAATCTTCATGGGATTCCCACTAATTTGTTAAATCACAGATTGTTTACACTTGGAATTCTTCCAGGGAAGCTATTCAGAAAAAGATGCTCCAGAGTAACTGTCCCTATTGTCATATATGGATATTCATATTCCAGAATAAGAATATCTATAAATGGAATTGTTCCAGAATAACTATTATGGATTAAATTCAGTTTACCTTATTCCAGAACACCGTTTAGGGCCAGATACAGACATTATACTTTTACTGGTATAAGTGATCAGAAATCAGTCTATACCCAAAACAGAAGTTCAGTGCACAAAACCTGTCTATACCTGTAACAGAACAGAAGTTCAGCACACACAGACTGGTTTAAAAATGGTGAAACCTAGTATAAGATTTCCTCCCCACCCTCCCCCAAAGGGTGAATATGTTCTGTTTGCTACCGATCTAAACTACACTGCTTACAGAAAACCACATAACTTAGATCAATTCTCCATCGGGCTTTTTGAATATCAGTACCTAGCCTACGTAGACAGGCCTTTAGGCTATATTAGGATTTTAGGATGTAAAGATTTTTTTTAGACATGGCCTGAAAGACTAGAGGGAACTATATTAGAAAAAGCAACTAACAGAATGGCTTTGACAGAACTTTTTACATACTAAAAATTACTTTGGTGTTTGCAAGAGCAGGGAATAAAGTTTCAGCTTTCAAATTGTAAAATTAATGGTTAAGTTACACAGATTTCTTGTTTTATTGTCACCCACACAAAATAAAGGAGAATATGGCATAAACCTTCTACTAGCTGATGCCTTAAAGTTCAAACCTTCATGGTAGTACAAGTGTGAGAGAAAGCCAGAATAAAGTGAGAAAGAATGCCTCAGGGCTAACATACCTCACAGAAACTTTGGCAGTGGTTTTTCTTCAAATCCCAAGATTCTTTGCAAGGCTCCAGGCACTAGGAAGAATCATAAAAAAAAAAAGCATCAGAAAGAAAAGTAACATTCATAAATTATTCTAGCCCATTATTATTGGTTTGTTTGGCGCGTAGGAAACTGGACTACAGCAACAATACTAAAAAATAATAGGTTTCTAAAAAAACCACTTCTCCTGAGGACAACATTGTGTCATAATTGCTGCGCAAGGTCATTTTGAATGGTTATTAGATTACAGGAAATGTTTTCAATATTTCTCACTGGGCTAGGCAGTGTCTTGCTTATGTCTATAATATTGCATTGACCATTTGGTTGGATCTGAGTATTAATAAACATTACCATCACAACACTGGATTATTCCATAGATCTTAGAGACAATGGTTATTGATAAAAGCACTTTTGCAAGTTACAGAAAACCATGCATTGTTCCCCTCTGTTAAGTCTAAACATGAGGTTGTTACATGATTTCTTCCAGCCTAGGAGGAAAGGGATGTATATTTTCAAAGGCTACAAAGAAGGAGTAACAGAAGAACTTTATCAATCATGCTTGTGTTTTCTTCTATGATGGACAATAGCATTGGTCTGTAGCAGCAGTCTATGAGGTCTATCCCTCTCTGTTTCAATACCAAATCACTGCTTCCTCGCCTTTAAACTCTACAGTGTAGAGGTGAGGAAGGGGCATAGAAGAGCATTTCTACTGAAGAAGAAACAAAAAGAACTTAGCAACATGGTTTAGGAGACAAGCTCCTACCAGTCCCTTTGAGAGTGGGGTCTCACTCTTGGAGGAGAACTGCTGATGGGGTCAGTGAGCTGTGCTGCCTCGCTGCTGAGGGATGAGTCTCTAGGGCCCACAACCCCAATGCAGACAGTCCTGGCAAGCTGCTTAACACTCAAGAACCAGCGTTTTGAATACTGTATCTACACAGTCATTAAACTCAGAACAAGAAAATTACACAAACAAAGCCAAACATAATACTTATATTTTTTGAGGCAAGAAATTCTTCTTTTAGTCTGACAAATGCAGAATTGAGGCACAGAGATTAAGGTTGCATGAGAAGTCCATGAAAAAGATGAGAATTTAGTGTAGCTCTCTTCCATTTCAGTCCAGAGCTTAACCACAAAGCCATCCTTGAGGTCTTCTCCTTTATTTGTATGAGGGCTAAACTCTCACCACCTGAATGGCAATGTTGAGGGATGTATCTCAAGAAGGAGAATATTGCATATATATTTTCCCCCTATTAGATACTCCTGTGGGTTTTTCCATAAATAGGGTAGTATATTCCAAACTAACACAGGTTTGGTCAATTTCTAGTAGCACATACTACATTCCATTCCTATTAACATTACATTTACTTTTCTGAAATGCATTTCATTTATTATATTTAAGAATCCACACTTTACATACTCCTTGCAACAAATGTGGATTAAAGCAAGTCTGTTGATGAATGCACGTAAATAAACAGTCTGTTTTTGCAGTGCTCTGCAAAGCAGCTCTGGAGTCTCAAGGGATGTCAATTTCTCTCCCCACCATCCATCTTACTTGAGCACACTCCATTGAATGAGACCAAACACTAAACTGAATATTTGCCTCTAAATATAGGAAGTCTGCATATGGAAGTCTTGCAAAGATCAAGTACTAGATCAATAATGTCTAACAAGATATTATAAGATGCTACATATTCAGAATTTAAATAACAAAAACCTGCATCCAGTTGCAGACAACATTTGCTTTTCATCCAAGTCCTTACGGAATACTTGAAAAAAATTGTGTGCATCTTGAAACTAAAAATCTGGATAACACATTTTCAGAATTGTGCTGAAACACAGAAAGAACCCAATCCAAAGCTCTCTGAAGTCAATAGGAGTGTTTCCATTGAGCTCCTGGACTTCTGAATAGTCCTTATGCTAGAGAAGTGAGTATACAATTTTATTTCCTTTTTTGCCTACAAAAGAATTCCAAATACATACCTGAAACACTCAGGACAAAAGTATTCCTACATAGAATATCCCTGTTTTCTAGGTTATTGTAAATGCCTGCCTGTAAAGGACACTGAAAGTCTTCTCCCCAAGACAAGTCAGAATGTATATTACAAAACAGTAGATTTCGATTTTGTTTTCCATTATAGAAAGGCCTGCAGGCATTTCCACTGCTGCCCAGAAACTGGGAGATGACAGATCTCCAACGAATAGCAAGGTCTTGTAGGAAATGATTCTGAAGATTAATTCAGTAGATGGCACTGCTCCCTTTGAGCCACTGCTATAACAGATACCAAGTGTGGTGTTAGGAGGAACTGTACTCCTGGGAGAGGGTAGATCCTGGACGAGATATCAAATTGAGGTAATTGCAACTTGTTGTGGTCATAAAGACCGAACGAAACTCTTCATAAAATGAGGGTCTTAACCCAGCTGGCTTTGCATAATTCACTCTTAGATAACCACATTATACCTGTTAACATAACCTTCCAGTTAATTTAGCTGTAGAATGCCAGTTGCCATATTTCACCACAGAAAATCATCCTCTGAGTAGTAACTGAACTAATACCAGTATCTGATGGCCTTCAAAATGTAGTACATAAATAAAATTAAAAATTCTATTAATATAAATCATGTTAGTAATCACTGTATGTATAGTCAAAAACAACAACTTAAGCAGGATGCATCTCTAAGCAAGAAGAATTATCGCTGCTTTACTTGATTTTGCTTTCCTATTCTCTTTACTGTATTTTTAAATTTATTGCAGCAGTTTTTTCTTTGTCCTGAAAGGATCTTCTCTGGTGTGGATTTTTTGAAATGTAAATAAATAAATATGAAAAGTATGAGATTAACATGTGGCCTTGAATACTTACAATATTTAAGGAATGGATTTTCAAAGGTAGTCAGCCTCAGCTTATCTGTGAGAGTTGTACCTTTGACCTCAGAGGCAGGAGAGCAAAGCCAACACAATAATTTGGAAAAATCTGACTGTTTACAGACATTATACTTTTACTGGAATCAGTGATCACAGACTAGTCTCATAACAGAAGTTCAGCACACAAAACCTGTCTGTACTTGTAACAGAACAGAAGTTTGGCACACACAGACAGGTTTAAAAATGGCAGAACCCAGTCCAAGATTTGCTCCCTGCCACCAAAAGGCAAATGTGTCTTCTGTTCACTACTCATCTAAACTATGCCCCTTACAGAAAACTGAACCTTAGAACGATTCCATCTAGGGTTTTTTGAATGTCTGTACCTAGCCTTAGTGTATGTGTGTGTGTGTGCCATTTTATGCCATATTTTTGTTTCATGAAGCTGCTTAATGTCTCAGAGGGGTAACTGTGTACAATGTAGACAACAAGAAGAATGTTATCCAAGAGCTGTAGCTTAAATATAACTCTCCTTCCTGATGTCAGTTGCCTTAAAAATATGTGCTCCTTAGGGAAGCTGGAAACATACGCCACATCCAGATGAGTACAGTCATGTAGTACAGTCATATAGACACGTCTACGGCACCACATACTGCACATTCAGGTGTTCTCTGTGCTGCATGGGAGTAGCACGTGGCAGGGGAGGGAAGGTTGACACCTGGATATCCAGTAGGGCTGTGTGAAACATCACTGTTTCGTTTCCACATCTGTTTCGCCATTTCAAAGGGAAAGTGTTTTGTTTTGTTATTTCTTTTCATTTCGAAGCACTGTTCCGTTTCATTTCATCGAAGCTGTTCTGCTGCTTCAACGCGTTTCGATGTGTCGCCCATCGGCTATAATGGGGAATCATGAAAATGCCTATTTTTCATTTCTTGCCTGATTCAGATGAAAATTCCAGGGGTGGTAGCCCCTTCTGAGGGCATGAAGCCTGGCAAATTTAAAAAAGACAGGTGCAGGTGTTTCTGGGAAACTGCACCTCAAACTGCTAAAAACAAAACTTGTGTCACTTGCCAGCAGCGGCAGCCTCCTGTCATCCCGCATGCAGATCTGGGGCCTGCACCCCCAGGAGGGCTGTGGGGTTATGCCGGACTCCTCCCAGGGGTGTGGGCCCCTCGATCTGTGCTCAGGATGACAGGAGGCTGCTGCTGATGCCTGGGACTGGTGCTGGGGGCAGCCCACATCCAGCGCCAGGAAGATTGCAGCTGCCGCTGGCCCTAGACAGCAGCAGGAACCACCTGTCATCTCAAGCACAGATCCAGGGGCCCGCACCCCTGGGAGGAGTCCAGCATCACTGGAAGGGCGGTTGAGCTCCATGGGACTGACAGAGTTGCTTAGAGTGCAGCCCTGGCTCTCCCTGCCTCCTGTCATTGGGTTGCACTCTGAGCAGCTCCACCAGCCCCATGGAGCTCAGCCCAGCAGTGAGAGGCGGCAGTAGAGCCAGTGGAAGAGCTGCTTGGAGCACAGCCCTGGCGAGCAGAGCCCAGCAGTGGGAGGCTCCAGAGCCCCATGGAGCTGAGCCTGGCAGCAGGAGGTGGGGGAGATCCACTGGGTAGGGCTGCACTCAGAGCCAGGGCTGTGCTCCGAGCAGCTCCACCACTGGCTCTCCCTCTGCCTCCCACCGCTGGGCTGAGCTCCATGGGGCTGGTGGAGCCACTCGGAGTAAAGCCCTGGCTCCAAGTGAAGCTCTGGTGAGCACAGCCCAGTGGCTGGAGGCTCCGCAGCCCCATGGAGCTGAGCCTGGCAGCAGGAGGTAGCAGAGAGCCACTTGGCAGAACTGCACTCAAAGCCAGGGCTGCACTCTGTGTGGCTCCACCACTGGTTCTCCCACCACCTCCTGTCACCGAGCTGAGGTCTGTGGGGCTGGCGGGGCGCCTTGGCACTAAAGAAAG